AGCGGGCTATAGTACTAGAGCTATGAACAAGGTAGCTCTAGTACTAGCTCTAGTAGTACTATAGCCCGCTTTCATTAATTCCCCTGTCACACCTACCCGCGATCACGCTCGCGCTCCCACTGCGACCTGAAAAGTATGAAACCGTGAGGAAAGGCGCGCAGCAGTAAAGTCTCTGAGAACGAGTTGGTGACACAGTGGAAACTGTCAAGGACGGAAGAGGGTCGCCATGAGCTACCTTGAACGTAGCTAGTACTATAACCCACGTTCATTAACTGCCGCAGGGCTATAGAACATTCTCGCACAGATTTCGTAACACCACCTGGTCCCGATTGGTTCCACGAAAAATGGCCCAGAAAACGCAAAATGATCGGGCTTTTTAACACTTATTTATCTACATGGACATGATCTCACCTATCTTTTTGAACACTTTCCACAACTTTCACCATGTATTTATGCCTTTAAAAGTTTAATAGCTTTATTCCTCACAAGTCAGCACTACTGGCTGAACCATTTGAAATATTGTGGCGTGCGAACGCGTGACGTCACCGGATATGTAGGCAAAACACATGGCAGCTAGTATGTAGGCATGTACATATACAATACCGGTGACGTCACGCATTCGCACGCCACATCTCCACTAAATAGCGGAGACATAGCGGAACGTCTGTGAAACAAGAGTTGGCCATTCACTAAGTTCTCCGTTATGCCTCCGTTCGCTAAATAGCAGAGAACTTTAGCGGACGTTAGTGAAACGTGCCCCGGTTCCGGACGCGTAGCCACTGCAAACATTGAAATCACTTACTATTCATTCATCTCTAAAAATATCGTTGTCGTGATACTGTGAATGTTTCTTTGTATCGTTTTTCGTAACCTCTTGTGCGCATTTGTCTTCACAATTCTTCTGTTCAAAATTGTTAAGATAAGCGCATATGCGAACACAATCTGGCCTAACAAACGTGTCACTACGCACGACTGAGTTTATGAGCATAGCAACAGACCTCAGATGAGCCTTGTCGCTCTGCGGCACTTGTTCACTGTGTCTGATCAAAGAGAATACAATCACTGATGACAAAAATGATGAAAAAAGGAGTATGTAGGATATATGCTAATAACACTGTCACATCTGCCCATTCTCTCTCTATCTCTCTCGCTTGCCTTCCTTTCCTACCACCACCTCTTTCTATCTCTCTGTCTATCTAGATCCTTATGTCTGTCTCTCAGTTTCTCTCTATCTCTTTCTTTAGCCCTCTGTCTATCTGTCGCTCAGTCCATCTTGTCTGTCTGTCTGTGCGTCTGTCTGTCTCTGTCGCCCTATAACCATTATACCGGCACTACGTACCAAAATTGATGACATTGAGATGATGGTAATAATTGAATGATAAATTAGTTTTCTTAATTACCAGAGACCAATGTAAGGCTTAATATTATTAGTTAGGCCGTGGCTACGCGTCCGGTTACAGGACGCCTAGCTCCCAGGCTACGCGTCCGGTCATCCATTTCTTATGTGAACCCAACTATATTTTTTCAGTAAAAAACACTAAAGAGTAATTTTTACCATTTTAATACTTATGTGTTTAGGTATTTTATCAAAAAATGTGTTTTTGTGACTCTTGAAACAATAGTAAATCCAGTAGAATCAACGATTTTAAAGGGCGGCGTGGCCTAATCGTGATGTAGGTTTAGGGTGCTTGCCATAACATATATGATACGCACCAGTGCGGTTTTTGTTGTGAAGCGGTTTAATAAAGTCTGTATGAAATTTACCACAAACAACGCAACGCACACCTTTCCAAGTGCAACAATTTGTTACTAGCACAGGCGGTCTGATGTTCTCGTGTGAAATGGATGACCAGACGCGTAGCCTATAGCTGGTAGCTTGGCGTCCCGTAACTGGATGCATAGCCACTCTGTATTAGTTATTAGTGCAATAGTGCAGTTTAAGTCTGAAAACTTAGCCAGTCTTAATATCGAAAATGTTGATGTTTAACATCCATAAAAAATGGCCAGTCATCCTCAAAAGTTACTAGTCCCGGGGGATGGGCTGCTATTGAAGAAACGAAGAGATTGTCGCATGAATAATTGTTTCTTTAAAGTCGAGCAGTAAATGAGGACCAGTCAGAGCAGTGGATTTTCACAAAGTCTAAAAACCTGCCAATATATCTAATTTAAGCCTTATTAAATGTAAAAATATAAGTTAAATTCATTTTTTGTTGCAGAAAGTTCGTCTAACGAATGGATCAGAGTCGTTCGACATCTGGAAAGATATGCCAGTTCCGATTTACATGCAATTCTGGATCTTCCATGTTAAGAATCCACTGGAAATTACCAGGGACGGAGCTAAACCATCAGTTGAACAAAAAGGCCCTTATACATATCGGTATGTTTGTCTGTCTATATATCTGTTTATAATCTAAATTCATAATTCAGAACAAAGTTATAAAGTTAAAGCCTTTATTTCGAACATAATTTCTAATGTTTGTTCCACTTTTACAACACTAACCATTAAATTGCTTGAGTAACAGCAACTGTCCAGAGTAACAATAAAATGTATTGGAACCTTCGTACTTGGGCTGATAGGGTCTATGTCCCCCAGGGTACTGCTGGAACGTACCCTGGGTACGGTCCGGTATACCGGAATATACCAAATATACAAATATACCAATACCCAATATACCGGAACGTACCCTGGTACTAAATACTACTATCTAATATGCCGGACCGTACCTCGCCTACTCCACTAACGAGTCTAGGTAGTCGCCTACGCCTACGCCTACTCCCTAACTCTAACGCTAACCCTAACTCTAACCCTAACCCCCACCCTAACCATATCAGCTAGATAGTTACCAGGGTACGTTCCGGTGTACCGGACCGTACCGAGGGTACATTCCGGCAGTACCCTGGGGGACATAGACCCTATGAACCGTACTTGGCTGTATTCTCCAAAACATGCACGATTCAATTTTTGATTACTCGTTTTGATTACTGCCGCCATTTCTTGCGTATATCGGACTATCTCGCGATATCCCCAGATATCGGCCAATTTTAAAATTAAAACGGAGTAAACTACACATAATAAGATGCCCTTTTGTTTGAATTAGGTGTACAATGGATGCACTTGTTGTTTGTGCACTTGGGTGCCATTTGCAAATTTATTTTCACTGTAAGTGTAATCAAATATACCATGGTGTTATGGCATGTTCAATTCCAATTTTCTATACTATAAGTTATAACAGCATAAATTCTTAGCGTTTTTCAAGTTTGCGTAATCATTAATATATCCGCTATGAGGTAAGACTATATTTAGCTATATTTTTTCAGATTTTGCGTTTGGAGCAATGATTTCGAAATGAATCCTTTAAATGTTCATTTGTAAGAAAAAATCATGACATCCTACACTTATTTGATCACTAATTTATTCATCACCTGTTTTGTTGTATTTCTGTGAAATAATAACAACAGTCAGAAGCAAATAACTTTTTTTTTTATACAGAGAATACAGACAAAAACACAATATAACCTTTCACTCAAATGGAACCATTTCCTATGTGCCTACAAGAACATACACACATGAGCCTAAGATGTCAGTTGGTAGTGAGGATGACACGATTACATCTCTTAACATGCCAATGCTGGTATGAATTCTATATCTCAAGTGCAAAAGTCAAAATAGTTATAATAATATTAGGACTAAGGTAATATGCCATTATAATATATGGCACATAATTTATAGACTCAAATTGTTTATTCCACTCCTGGAATAATAAAATAATATAATATATATTTTGTATATTGTATATATATTTGTATTAAACATAGTTAAATTTGAGAGTTTTCAAAAAGTCGAGATTCTCGGGTGGTCCAGATTTCTGACATCCAGATTTTTGGACTTCTACTGTATATTCTCTTTCTATCTCTGTATCTCAATACGTATCGGATTGTGACCCATGTACCGAGATACACATCGTATCGTGACCCTATTGCATCGTTACATCTAATATCTAATAAAGTCTTAATGCATGCTTAAGCAGAAGTATGTAGGGTTTTGTGTTTATATACTTATAGTTATATTGCACACATGACTTACAGTTATTACAATTATTGTTTTCTATGCTAATTAGGTATTCTCTTGCAGACAGTAGCATCATACATAAAGTATGAGCCTACGTGGTTGAAGGTACTGGCATCTCTGGGACTGGCTGTGTTAAATGAGACCGTGTTCGTAAACCACACAGTAAAAGAATGGTTGTGGGGATATGAAGACCCAATGTTAAAGGACATCCATGATCTTCTGCCAAATCTTGTGCCTGATAGTCACTTTGGATTTTTCTATGGGGTATGATAATCTGAGACTTATGCATTGCACTGCTTCATATTTTCTAAGTTAAGAGTAACATTATGACAACATATATATACAGGTTGGAGTGGATAATTAGACAGCACATGCATGCTAATACTGCATACAGCCCATGTACACTGTAATACAGCACATGTATGCTATGTGTGGATTCACCATCAGATATATTTCTTTTATGGAAATTATAACTTGAAATAATTAAATCAAGCAAGATATGTCATTCTAAAGTAGCTGCAGGCAATAGGCTTGAATGTTGCAGTTTCACAAATCATGAAAATGTATCATCAGCTGTGCTATGTCGATATTCTTAATGTTCTTTCAGCCGCCATCAGGTAACCTGTCAAGAGATGGATTGTACACCGTTGATTCTGGAAGTGCCGATGTACACCAGGTAGCTGAAATAGAAAAATATAATGGAGTAAGGTAAGACATAAAAACAATGAAAAAATTGGTTAAATGTCAGGTACATCCTGGTATATGCTGCTCCCATACTAGTTACAAAAATTCACAAAACCATTGGGGCTATATTTGGATTTCATCCATCTATAAGAGTTAAAGACATATCTACAATTTTATTTCTATAGTCTAGAATAGCACGATATTATTTTGACTATGTACAGTAGAAGTCCGAAAATCCGGACTGCTCGGGGATTGAGTTTGTCCGGATTTTCGAATTTTCCGGATTCTTGGGCAGTACTTTTAAAATTCAAATTTAAGGAGGAATAAAGAAGAGATGAGCAGGTAAATTTTGATAATTTATTCATTAGCAAATACAGCAGGGTTCATTTATCAAAATGAGCAGTTTTAAAGAAAAATAAAGTCAGCACTTGACTAAAATGTAAACTGTAGCGATGTAATATTAATGCCAGTGGGCGCCAGGCGGGCGCATTCGGAAAGGTGATGGGGGCACCTGATTAGTAGCCACCCACAAAGCATTCAACTGAAATATATGAGTACATAGGGTAATGGAGATCCAGAGCTGCGTCACCTATCAAGCAGATAGGACCACTGTCACCGTGCCACGTGGACCACTGTCACCGTGCCACGTGGACCACTGTCACCGTGCCACGTGGACCACTGTCACCGTGCCACGTGGACCACTGTCACCGTGCCACGTGGACCACTGTCACCGTGCCACGTGGACATCACCAGGACACGTGGACCACTGTCACCGTGCCACGTGGATTGCTGTCACTGTGCCACGTGTTACCGCTGTCACCGTGCCACGTGGACCGCTGTCACCGTGCCACGTGGACCGCTGTCACCGTGCCACGTGGACATCACCAGGACACGTGGCCATGGAAAAGCCACACCCAGGGTATAAATACGGGACACAATAGGAAACAAGGGGGAGCTTAGAGAGTGAGAGAAAGTGGTAGAAATGGAATGAGTGAAGGGAGAAGTATCACAAGGCACTCACATACTGCTTTGTTTAGTTATGTCGTAACATATCTATATATCGTTATAATAAAGCCGTCTATATTATGCATGACACCTTCGATGATCATTGACTACCAACGTGTAACGTGTGACGAGAGCAACAGCTAAAAACCTTCCCTACAAAACATGAAAAAATTTCACTACAAAAAAAGAGCGTGTAATGCTTGAAATCATGTTTAAAAATGAACATTGTAAAAGAAAAATACAGTAAACAATTAAAAACAGGGTCGCGTTATAGAAACGTATAAGATTGTGAGTAACTTAGGAGCTGTTTATTCACACGTCTGTGTGGCTTGCTTACATGATGGAAAGAGAGCGACTGCCGCACCTGCAGCGCTTATATACGGCAGTCTGGTAGCAGGAGCCACCATCGCTAGCTTAGCTATATGTTAATGCTTGAACACGTTAACCAATCACTAACACAACATCTTTCTTTCTGGAGGTCTGAGAGAGCTTAAACAAAATGACTGCTCATTAAGTTCTCAGTTAGAAAAAAAATATATAACTGGACTGAATGCATAATTCATCTCAAATATAAATTAGACAAAGTGCTTGTATTTGGACGGGAACCAAACGACCCGACCGCTCCTGGTGGTCTGCGGATTCTGGCGCTCTATGTCGGAGTGACGTTCTGGCTGACCTGGTAACCCCTGTCCGGGTGACGGAGGAGCAACAGTCTCTAACACCGGCGAGGGAGGAGTTAGAGCTACCCTCGGTGACTCAGGTGACGGAGGATCTAGCGACACTGGAGTTGAGATACCAGGTGTTACCAGGCTAATCTTGTTGAGCTGGGCCCTGTTCCTCGTAAGTGCCTGGGAAGTGAGGGTGGTGACCACATAGGAACGGGAATGCCCACCGGTTCCTGACACCAGACCAGACTTCCGTCTCTCCGGCACCCAGATTTCGTCTGTTGGCTGGAGACTTGGCAATTTTTTCGCTCTCCTACGAAGATCGAAGTTGCGTTTCGTTTTCTCCCTGTATGCCTCTTCTCTCTCTCTCTAATCTGGCTTGTGTTAGGCTGTTGTACAAGCAACCCTTTTTGCACAACCGGAATCCTAGTTCGCAACAACCTAGCCATGCAAAGTTCGGCAGGGCTATACCTGTTCAAGAGAGGCGCATTCCTATAATTGAGCATTGCGATGTACGGATCACCAGCAGCGGATAAGAGTCTTTTTTTTACAGTTTGCACTGCGTGCTCTGCCTCACCGTTGCCTGATGGATGCCCTGGGCTGCTAGTGATGTGAGCAAACCCAAACTCATGGCTGAACTGCTCAAACTCCTGTGAAGTGTACTGCAGACCGTTATTTGAGATGACAGTATCTGGAATCCCAGGCCGGGCGAAGATTGACTTCATGTGGTTGACCACGGCCCGAGACGCCGTTGACTCCAGCAGAGATACTTCGATGTATCGCGAGTAGTAGTCTACCACGAGTAGATACTTACTCTTCTTCAGTTCAAACAAGTCCGTGGCAATTTTCTGCCATGACCGATCTGGCATTGCTAAGGGAATAAATGCTTCAACTCTGCTATTGTCAGATTGGTTGCATTCCCTGCAGCGTTCCACAAGATCTGCCAGATCTCTGCTTACACCAGGCCACCATACAGCTCGCTTTGCTAGTTCACGGCACTTCGTTATACCTTGATGTCCTTCGTGCATCTTCTCTAAGATGTCTGGTCTTAGACTGCAAGGGATGACGATCCTGGTGCCACATAGACGGTGATTGCCCACGACAGTCAGCTCCGTCCTATTGGGTCAATAATGTTTCGCGAGTCCTTTCAGACAGTTTTTTTAGGCCATCCTTCTTCTACATACTGGATCACCTCGCGACATACGTCATCCTCCTGTTGGTGGTCACGGATGTTTTCTAAACGTTTATCTGTTGCAGGAACTGATTCGGTGATCATCCGCACAAACGCATCTGTTTCCTGTTCCAACGTACCATCGCTCTGTGTTGGCGGATAGGCCAGCGCAAGGGAAAGCGCATCAGCAGTGTGTAGCTCCTTACCAGGCACATGAATGATGTTTTAGCTATACTGCATCAACCGCAGGCGGAACCTCTGGATCCTCGGTGGCAATTGATCCATATCCTCAGAGCTCAACAGGGGAATGAGCGGCTTATGGTCAGTCTAGACCCGGAACTTGATCCCCATGAGGTAATCCCTAAACTTTTCACATGGCCAGACGATGGCCATGCCTCTTGTCAATTTGAGCATACCGCTGTTCTGTTGGAGACAGAGATCGAGACACATATGCCACTGGTTGCCACTCTTTACCATCCCTCTGTGTGATGATGGAACCAAGGAAGATCTCGCATAGGCTTGGTCAGTTCAGCTAAGCAAGGCGTGAACTTCCCCATCTGATTCACCATACCCAAAAATCTCCTGAGTTTGCTGACATTGGTTGGCACAGGCATGTCCCTGACAGCACCTACCTTTTCAGGATCAGCTGTGATGCCTTCTGCAAACACGATCTGACCTAAACACTTGTCTCGGTTCAGAGTAACTCCGGCGTTTTCTAGACGAGTAAGAGCTTAGTCAAGTTCTCATCATGTTCTGCTTGGTTACGACCAAAAACTATGACGTCATCCATTTGTGAAACTGCCCCCGGAGTATCATATTGAATTTGAGCCATTCGCTTTGAGAAGTGTTCCGGAGCCCTGGAGATACCGAATGGAAGACAGTTGAAACAGAATCGACCAAATGGAGTGATGAACGTCGTCAGCTTCCTTGACTTCTCTGATAAAGGAATCTGATGAAACCCTGCATTAGCATCTACATTAGAGAATACTTTCGCATTGGCCAGCTGGCCGAGTACATAATCGACTGGCAGTATCATATGTCTTTCACGCTGAACTGCCACGTTGAGCTTAGTAAGATCCACACACAGGAGAACTTCTCCTGATGGCTTCGGCACACCAACTATAGGGGCACACCAGTCCGTCGGCTCTTCTACCGACAAAATAACTCTTATTGTCTTCAGTCAGCTGAGCTCCTCTTTCACCTTGGGAAGAAGAAGGAGTGGAATCCTTCGTGGCGCACTGATAGTGTATGGACGTACGTCTTCTCACAGCTTTATCTCGTATAGAGTCTCAAGCATCCCGAGTCCAGTAAACAAACTTGGAAACTTCTTTTTCACTGAGTCAACAAGGGAGATGATTCCAAGTTCATGGGAAGCTTTGCCGCTCAACAGATTTGAGGCTTTCTCGAAGATGTAGACTTCCTCTACACACGACTTTTCTTTGAACTTGATCTCAGCACGGAAACAATCATAGGCATGGATAGGCTTATGATCAGCCCCAGGGATCACTAGAGGATGACTCCAGCCTGGTCTCCGGAAACTCACGGTCAAACACTTGTCGCGACATGACAGATACATCTGCCCCTGTGTCTACACGAAACTTCACCTCCTTATCACAGACAGTGATAGGAAATATCTACTGTGGAGTGCGACCCGACTGGTTGCCCACACTTACTTCTCCTATGAAGACATCTGATGAAGCGTATGAACAAGACTGTGTAGTTACTTCATTTACTGTCTTGGCCTTTTGACATACCTTCTCAAAATGCCCTTTGAGTTGGCATCGCCGGCAGTTCACATTTTTGGCAGGGCACAGAGAGTGATTATGAGCATAGTTTCCACACCACGGACACCTCTTCTGACCATACTGTGACGTCGAACGTGCAGACCTCTTGCCATATCGTCCTTTGGCATGTACGGCTAAAGCCTCCGCACCGACTACCGTAGTTGACGTCAACTCTCTTACCTGGTTCTTTACATGGGCTGACTGACGAGCTAGGTCTGTTGCAAGCTTCAGGGTTAAGTCCTCATTTACTTGCATATGTACAGAGAGATGCTTGTCTCGAACGCCAACAACGATTCTGTCCCTAATTAGCTCTTCCATTAGAGTGCCGTACTCACAATGCTCGGCGAGTGTGTGTAGAGCAGTAATGAAGGAATCAATTGGTTCATCCAGACCTTGCACTCTCCCGTTGAATTTAGCTCTTTCAAAGATTAGGGCGGACAATGAAGTATTCCTTAAACTTCTTCTTGACACAAACTCAAAACACACAACACGCGCCTCAGACACAAAAAATAAAAAAAAAAAAAATATCGTATACCCCCTCTCCCACAGGCGCAGAGAGAGCGGGGGGGGGTGGATGCATCCCCCCACTTATTGATGGTGGGGGGATGGCGTATACAATCATCCCCCCTACTTTTAGGAGGAAAATGGGGGATTCAAAATTTTCTGGGGTAGGACCCGCATACCCCCGCCTGTTTCCTACCATCCTCCTCGAAAACCTGCATTGGCCACTGTCGAGCGTAACAAATTGAGCACCCCCACTTCAAAAATCGTTCCTTGGCACCTGTAGAGTACTGCTAACAAAGATTATGATTATGAATATTTGTATGCATATCAAAATTCAAATTTGAGTTCATCTGACAGGGACGTAGATAGCGGGGGTGGGGGTATATCCCCCCACACTTATTGAGGTGGGATGGCTTTCACCCCCCCTGACTTTCAGGAAGAAAATGGGGAAAAATTTAATATTTTCCTGACAATAAATACTGGATATTTATCTACAAATCTGTCATTGCTATTATCATACTCTCCTTATGTATTATTACAGAAATGGAACATGACATACATCTACTGTAAAATGGCTGTAACTCGTTCCAAGAATGACATTTTTCTGAAACTCAGACGGTTAATTTTGGACGCATTCCCCATATACGATTTTTTTTCCAAAATCCCCAAAGTCTTATCACTGCTCACGAAAGTTAAATCCTTGCTTTATTCAAAATTAGAATTGACCTATTGAAAGTTGGGATATTGAATTTTTATGGGGATTGAATGGGAAAATTCAATTTAATCTCACCCACCTAGAATTTTCAGGGCAAAGGTATTTTAGCCTAGGTAAGTCTGCACTGGTAACGACAGTGAGGACATGTGCATAGAACAGATTTGGTACTAAGTATTTTAGTCTTTGGTATCCCCAAAGGTAAAAATACTGAACTCAACAGTTATGTTATTGTGATGAAGATTGTTTAATAGTGCTGCCTCATAGTGCAGGAAATTGCATCGAAGATGTGTTACTTTCAACAAAATTCCCGGACCCCCTCCCCTAAACAGGAGGGGGACACGCCCTGAAGAAGGAAAAATCCTGATATTCTATGATAAAGATGTCCAAAATTGATTGCTTTTAGATTGCAACATTTTAACAATTCCACACAGTGGGAGGGGGACACCCCCTCCAACCCCCCTCCCTCCGGGCGCTTTGTGCCCTTGAGCTCGCATGACTTGCCTCCCCCCCTAGAATTTTCTTCTGGATCTGCCACTGGTTGTGTGTGTGGGGAGGGGGGGTGTGCGTGTTATTAAACCTCTGTGATCTAAAGAAAAAAATTACCTTAGAATTCACAAAAATGCACTTACAATATCAATTTTGTTCAATTACCTCAAAAACGGCCATCTTGAAGGTTTTAAATTGCTAAAATCCAAGAGCTTCCGGGGGCTCCGCCCCCTGGAACTCGGGCAAGGGCTCTACCCCTGCACCCTGCCAGGGCCCCTAGGGCGGCCCCTGGACCCCACCCATTAAGCGCTTTGCGCCAAGGCGCTCGCGGTGCGCGCTCATCGCGCGCACACTTCATATACATTATGATGGAAGTAACAGCAAAATCATCCCCCCCACAACTGAGGACCTGTCTACGCCACTGGTCTCTTCCATACAATATATCAAAGTCTTCACCTGGTGCTGTGGGGATTTTTTGTCTAACCCTGAGGCTATACCTTGAATCTTTCAAACCGCTTTATCCACCTGGTCTGTGAGTTAGGCTGAGAGAAATCGAACGGCTCTGGTGGTGACACTTGAAAATTCGCCATAACACTTACAGTATAGTGCTCCCGACACAGACGCGTGCACGTGAAATCGTTGCAAGTGTGAATCCTGTTTTAGCTGGCTTGCTCAGTCTTGCCTGTTAACTGGGTCAACCCTGCTGAATTACCATTAATTTGACAGTTTTCGAAAAGTCCGGGTTCTCGAGTGGTCCGGATTTCTGGCATCCGGATTTGTGGACTTCTACTGTATTACCACTAAACATAGGGGAAGAAATGTAGTAATAATAAAACAAAGAAAAGTAAATGTAAAGTGCATGTCTACTGCACATAGTGCTATTGTAGCTACCAAACCTATATATGGTGAAATTGATGATTATTGATTTGGTTAGGCTGCCTATATGCCTAATATTGTATTTGATATAGTTTGGGAGTGTTTTAAAAACGAGTCAAATTGTAAAATATCGATCAAACCTTGCAAAATGCGTAACATTTTTGTCATGTCTTTAAAGTGATTGCGTCACCGTAAATAGTAAATGTAAAAAAAATGTCCACAAAATGTAAGTGATTCTGTTCACTTTTTATGGTTAAATTGCTGCATTATACTTCCTATTTTGCTATTATTATGTGTTATTATATCTTCAATGTGAACAAACAGTCGTGACTCATAGCCCATAGCAAGCATTTAATGTCCAGGTCATTATATCAAATCGTCTAAGTTTTTTTGATTTTTAACTAGTTGAGAAACAATCTCAGGTAAGAATTCGAGGATACATTTAGTCTCGTTAGTACTTACTTTTAATGTAAAAAAATTGCAACAAAATTTTTAAAACTATTTACTATAGAAAGTTTGTGATGTAGTCAATATAAAGTTTTTTTTCATTTAACATATGCCTTTTCACTGCAAATCTAGCAAGGGGCAATATTATCTGGAATACTTTGTATGTTTTTGTGTTGGTGTTTGCTAAAAATAATGCCAGCACTCAGTTTGGATAAAAAAAACATCCAAATACCAACCATCCAAATAGAAGGTTATTTTATAAATACATGATGCTTTGATATATAGTTGTGTATTACTGTTAACGTGTCAATTTCTACACACTGTGATAACCTATTGAGCCTTGTGGTCTTCGTCAAAGATTATCCACTGGTCTATGGATTCTGTTGCTATGCATGTTAAAATCAATTTATTTGCTTTGCAGCCACCTAGACTACTGGAAGTCAGACTACTGCAACATGATTAATGGAACAGGTATGTATGTAAAAATGCCACATAACCTCAGACATAATAACATCAATATATGATGCATACGTGCTGACACCTTATCAATTAAATCATGTGTAGTGGACAAGTTAATTGGTGAATATGTCGCAGAAGGAACCTGCCTGATAAAGGAAATAATTTTATATATATAGTAGTAATAAAAGCAATATGTGACCAAAGTTATAGATCATAGAGTGTAATTTGGCAGGAAATTTTCCAGCAGTCAGTGTGTAATGTCTTTTACTGGTAATTGTCTATGCATGTACACGAACCTTTATTTCAGATGGAAGTATTTATGGTCCATTTGTCAAAAAGACAGATAAAATGAGACTATTCTCATCAGATATCTGCAGGTAGTATATATAAATCCTGATTGTCTTAGGTTGAATTTTGTTATTGACATATTGGACTTTCCTTGCAGATGTAATGATAATTAGTAGTGTAATGATAATTAGTAGTGTAATGATAATTAGTAGTGTAATGGTTACAATACTTTTTGTCATCATGAACATACTATTTTATACATGCACAGTAGAATTTAGTATACGCATGAACAGTGTTTCCCCTGGCCAAAAAGGTATGTGAGGTGGTAATTTTTTTGGTGTTTACACGTTTCGAGGTCTGAGCAAAGCGAGCATCGCAGGTGCTAGTGCGGTCCGGGGGCATAAGGCCCCTGAAAATTTTTGGAAAAAATGGTACAATTTGGTTCATTCTAAGCTATTCTGAACACATTTTATGAGACTATTGCATTTTAGTTTAATAAAGTGTAGTTTATTGATGGAAGAACAGTGATTTTCGTCAGCGAGGCGGTGTTTTGGACAAATTTCTGTGTGGCGGCTGAGAACTTGAGCGAGGCAGCTCTCGTTGCTCGTGTCAATGCAGGGGAAACACTACATGAATATTGAAATCAAACAGTACCAGAGATAGTGAATAGACGTGTTCATAGTGTCATACGTTTACCCACAGGTCATTGTACATGCAATATGAACAAGATACCACCATAGAGGGAATCAATCTGTTTCGCTTTACAGCCCCGGCGGCAATATTTGCAAATGCTAATGTAAATCCAGACAATGAGTGTTACTGCATGCCCTGTCTAGGAGCTGGGTTGCTCAACATTAGCATCTGTAAACAGGGTATGTACTACTACTGTGAACATATCTATAGATATGTTCATGCTGTGCACTACTGCCACTAATGATGCTAGTGCTATTATTGTTGTTACTACTACTGCTACTACTAGCTACTACTAGCTACTACTAGCTACTACTAGCTACTACTAGCTACTACTAGCTACTACTAGCTACTACTAGCTACTACTAGCTACTACTAGCTACTACTGTTACTACTGCTACTACTACTACTACTACTACGACTACTGCCACTGCTACTACTACTGCTACTACTGCCACTACTATTACTGCTGCTGCAGCAACTGTAGCAGCTACTGTAGCAGCTACTGTAGCAGCTACTGCTGCTGCCACTACTATTACTGCTGCTGCTGCTGCTGCTGCTAATGATACTGCAGGGTTTCTTCTGAGGGAAAATTAGACAACGGAGGTAATGGCCAGTTTGGGGACAAAACGTGCATGATGGATTCAAATGCGTGCAGTTGGCACGAATGTGGATTCTGCAGGCAGACGCGGGGGAGAGAGGTAGAGAGGGGTTCTGGGGGTCTCCCCCAACAAAATTTTAAAAATTTGATTGTCTTAGACTTCATTTGAGGCACCCCGAAAATAAAATGTCACCTTTTAGTTTAAATCTTACTCTGCTAGCAGATCTATCAAGTCTCACGCATTTCACGGGAGACTCACGCATCTCCCATCGACCCATTCTCCCACACTCCCGCATGCCCTACGCATTCTCACACATTCACGCAAAAGAAAAAACCAAAAAAAAGCAGCCTGCGACACCCCTGTTACCCACATCTGTGGCTGTGCACATCGTGGCTGCTTGCTTGCTGGCGGGGGCGGCATTGATTGAAGTATGGGGGAGGGGCGAATGCACTGATTGTTACAGTCGAGTGGGCATGCTTATTGCTGTATATGTAGGGGTGGACACCGCTGGTATGAGGCTAAACTTTCCCGGAAGCGAGGAAAAAGCTGCAAACACGAGTGTGCCGGCACGCAAAAAGAAACGTTACTGTGAATTTCATTACAATTTTCCATGTATATAGTCAGAAGCACGAAGTGATCTATTTATTTTTGGATTGACACTATTTTGACAACGGCGGGTAAATACAGGAACATTTTCACAACGGCGTTGTTAAATTTGACAACGGCGGTGCGCCGCAGTGCCTCCTATGTAGAAGAAACCCTGCAATGCTGATTCCTCTACCCCTCCTGCAGGATACTATGCTACCAAGCTAAGTAACATTCTTGTTTTTACAGGTGCACCAGTTGTGGTGTCAGCACCACATTTCTATGAAGGTGATCCGAAGTTTTCAAAGGCCATAGATGGACTACATCCAGTAAAGTCTGAACACGAAACATTTATGGATATTGAACCGGTATGAACATTGTGCGTTAGTCTGTTTATTAGTTTGTCTAAAATGTCACCTGAACTGTTGCTCTTAGAGTAGGTTTATTTGCCAGCTAAGTTCTTATCTGTAAAGGTACGTTTATATCCACCTACATGGACAATGAGATCGAATTACGAAAATAAGGTCCGGTTGTATGCATAAGGTCGTTGGTTATGTGCATGCACGCACTACGTCTATATTGCATTGGATTGGGCCTCTATTATTGCACTATGTAGTTTTTATTTATACCAAAATTGGAAGTGGAAAATCGGTAAAAATGTGGGACGTATCAAACTCTTTTGAGATTATTTACATCTTGGGTTATATTATATATATTATATATTATACATATATATATATATATATTATATATATATATATATAAAGAATAAATCCGACATTTAAGTTTTACAAAAAACCCAAGACTTTTCATCTTTATAGAAAATATCTTTAGGTGCATTAAGCTGTTTACTTCAAGGGGTTATTAATTGTGTGGCCACATGGCTTGTGTAAAACCTTAAATGTACGGATTATTCTTATTTTTATCTATAACAAACTGAATATCCGTGCATATTAAAGAACTTATTTCTACTATATTATATATATTATATATATATATAGTATGATATATATATATAGATATATAATTATAACCACGTGGCACCGTTGTAGTTTACCCGGTCGGGATAGCAGGCTCTGGTGTTGTCCGACAGATGCAGCTTTAAATATTCATCTTTCCGAATGACACAGGAATTGATTGAGTTTGCTGTAAAATCTACTTCAAAAATAGTGAGCATCTACAAATAATCACAACTGATAGCCTTATAATTAATTTAAAAAACAACTGAATTTAATCTCAACATTAATTATGTGTAAAGGCATCATCTTATCACATCGTACAGCGCACAGTACAAGCAGTATAGCTGGCTATGTTTAAACGCACCATGTTGCTATTATAATGATTTATGCATATGACACAATCATTGATATTAGCCGGCACTAAAATTGAGCTGGATACAACCCTGATATATACATATATATATATATCTTTTAATGCGACATATCTTTTTCATGAATAATTTTTTCCAGCTAACTGGACTAGCGATGCGGCTGATGAGGAGAATGCAGGTCAACACATTTATTGAACATATTGAATTCATAAGGTGTGTGGCTTTGTTACGATAATCACCATGGTGGAGGCAGAAATCAGTTAGTCTAACAAAAGCTCAACGGTTTTAGAGAATTTATCCAAAAATAACAGGTGTGTGGCAAATATTGACACCTATTTAGCTGACACGCATGCACGCAGACACATGTAATATACATATAATATATTATATAATTTTGTAACATTTTGAGCTCATCTGACATAGTCAGATGCAGCTTGTAGAATCGGACGTTTGTCTGTCTGTGCGTCCTTCAACAGCATGACACAAATCTAAACCGCTTGACGTACAGTCTTGACATTCGGGACGTAGGGGGAACGCAAATAGGACTTGGGATGTCGAATCTGGGGTTAAGGGTCAAAGTTGACAATGTGTCAATGGAGGGGGAATAATCCCTTCTTAACTTAAGGTATAGGAGGAAGCATTTTTGCGTCCGTCCATCAACCATATGGCACAAATCTAAACTGCTTGACGTACGGTCTTGATATTCGGGACGTAGGGGGGAACGCGAAAAGGACTTGGGATGTCGAATCCGGGGTCAAGTATCAAAGGGATGTGTTTGAGAGGGAAGATTCCCTCCTTAACTTAAGGTATAGGAGGAAATACAGAATTGTGGCACAAATCTGAACGGCTCTTGCATGTGTTTGCTTGGACACATTGTTTTTTTGTCAGCTGGTGCCTGGGCACTGGCCACGCGCTGGTGCAGTGGAGATGTAGGGTTGGGTTGTAGGGTTGAGTCTAGAGTTGAGATAGTGTCATCAGACATGAGAATATGGCCCACAGTATGTCTCAGATTGCAGGAAAATGGCTTAAATATTTCAACATCTTCTGGGGGGCATGCCCCCAGACCCCTCTAGCACTGGCATGCCTACGGCACGCAGGCCTGCCTGCGGCAGCCAAGGTACATTTATCACCCCCCTGTCCATCAATTTCTGAATACGTCACTAGTTACTGATCACCGCGGGACAATTCCGCATATCGAGTACCAATTGTACCTAATTGTACAACCTTCATGATACCATTCACATGCCTTCCCATGTTTCAACACATCTGTCAGCACTTCTCAGACTAAAACATGTCTTGATATGCACAAATCCATTTATCAGCAGAACACCAGACACCAGATGAGCACTGTCGCACTGTGGCACTTGTTATAGTGTGCTATAAAATATCATGCAATCATTGTGTAACTCACAGGCTCAGTAAATGCACATCTTTGTCACCCACAGCTGGAGGTCCCTGCTTCCAGTATCAAATAAGTTTGATACGTCAGACACGTACACACACAGACATATTTACACGCACACACGCACTCATGACGCACGCACATATGCACATATCATACACACACAGCCATAAAAACAGACACAGTTATTTGGTGTTTTATTTAACGTTGAATTTAATTCACTATCATTGTTTTTTTTTCCAGCCAAACAAAAAATCTAAAGCCGACTTTCTTTCCATTGGTATGGCTAAATGAGGTAGGAGCTCTGTATGTACTTGATATTTTGCAGTCAAACCAGTGTTAGTGGTCACCATTGTGGCATGGATACCTATTTGTAGACACTTGGCGTTTCCCTTGAGTGACCCTTATTTACAACCCTGACTATATGCACTAACAATTTCTAAATCAGT